AGGATTCACCCAGTTGGTTCTGTATTGCCTAATCGGAGTGTACACCATGATCCAAGCAACAGCAAAAAAGTCGTTCAAGCACACCTGGTGCTCTGTGCTGGGTAAAGTTCACAGCAGCTGTTTTGAGTCCCAGAAAGACATCTGAGAGAAGCACCATAAATAACGACATCACATGGAGTCTCCCATTGCACAACCCACATACATCTTTCCTGCTCAGGAATTTATGCCTCACACTCTTCACTGTCAGTCAAGAGCATGTTACAAACTATGTTTCCAATATGACCCAGAGGATACTTCGGAAAGTAATACAGCCCTCCTGTTGGCCAAGTCTTCTCAAAATACTCCTTCTACTCCATTACAAAAAAGACAAATATGTCTATAATCTTATCAAAACCACGGTCTTTCTCAAGAGCAAGCTATAGACCCACATGTGCCTTTTAAACATCATGGATGACCAAAACCAGTTCCAGCAAGTGTGACAGCCTGGCAGAAACTGAAGGGGGCTATTCCTTCGCAGACTAAGGATCTAAGTTCTTCTTCAGATATGCTAATGTAAAGTATTTTCTCAGTCTCCAATTTCAATAAATGCCAAATGTGAGCAGCTCCTTTTTAGGATTAATTCATTTTACTGCTAGATTAAAATTAAACCAAATTCCCCTAAAAAATCTCATTCCTAGGCCTCTGCAAGGAGAGAATCACTTTTCAAGGCAGTGTCTAGATATAACTGAGAAAGAAAATATATAGCTATTTTATAAAAATTAGATTTTTTTTCTCTTTTTCTGGAGTTTTGCCACGAATTGCCTTCGAGGGCTTGGTTCAGAAATTCCAAATTCAGTTTATTGTTTTTCTTATTAAGAACTAACTCCTTTTAGCAGTTTTGTTAATCTTGGAGTTTGAAGTTATTTTTATTACAGTAACGCCCAGAGTTTAGATATTCCGCAAAAAGATCAGGAATTATTTTTATTAAAGTAACACCCAAAGCTTAGACATTCTTTGTAAAAATGAGGCAAAGCACCTTCATTCTTAAAAAGGTTCTTAGTCTTTTCAATGCAAACACAGATTTCACAGATACAACTGAGCACTGAGAAGTTTCATCAGCCATTTTTAACCAGAAAACTGGGAAAAAAGTTATGAAAGTCGGATTCTTCTTGCCAGAAAAAAATCCTTAGCCTTTTGCTCTTCACACAATGCATGGTTTTTAACTTCCTCGCTTCTTGCCCTCTGTTATGGAAGAATTAGAATTGATTTCTACTCCCTGATGTCAGATTTCTCATGAGACATTTCTGCTGCCTTTGGGGTGCTCTGCCAGCAGTCAGTATATGCGGTATCTCTGCTCACGCTCAGTATCTGTCCCTCAGCCAGCAGGGAGTCCCACTGACCCAGGCAATGTCAGTTTCTGATGGAGCTTGTTAAGACTACAAAAAACTGGTTTGTCGCCCTTAACTTTTATGCCACAACAGAAACGGGGCTGCAATGTAAAGGATCTTACCTCCATTCTCGGGGGGCCTGAGGCACTGAAACCTTCTGTTCTTCACTGGCAGCTCTGTCTCAAGGACAAAATCAAGTGTTGCCTTTTTGTTTGAGTGGCTATGTTAATAAACAACATTCAGGTTCCTTACCATGACTAAAACACAGTTTAAGTGTTTGGAGGGGAAAAGGAACACCTTTTGATCACTACTTCCAATTTGGACCATAAGCAACCAAGACTGAAGACTCCACTTTGTCAGCAAGCCTCCTCCAAACACTGCTGCTCTTTAGGCATAGCAGGCCAAAGACATCATGGATTTAATTATACATTTTCTAACAAGGTGTTGCTTCCCCGTTGAAAACTGTCATTACGTGCCTTCTTCAATCTCTTTAATGTAGAAATTAGGGCTGGGGCAAAATCTTTTCAATTCCTCCGAACGAGATGTTAAGTTGCAACATATCCACCTTGCTCTGTGTAGCGTGTATAATTTCAGCTTGCTCAATAGCAGTGGCACTCCCGAATTCAGGAGGACTTTAAAAGGAGTGATTATGCTCACGGAAGTAAGCTAACGTGAATAAACTGCCCAGGCAACAGGGAGACATTCCAGAGCCCTGTGCTGTCACCAGGCTTTTGGCCAATGCTGCTTAATCATATACGCAAAACATAAATTACAGAAAGATTCACCACAGGTTAGAATATTCTCAATGAATAATGTTGTATTGTGCTGAAGAAGCTTCCCCTGCAAAATATCCTTAGACAAAAGCACTGGGATCTTCTCCCCATTTTCAGAGCTTCTACTGACATCAGCAGTACAAGTGATTTAGCAAAGGCTTCCTCCATGGGTCTTCTCAATGGATCAGGCACTTTTGGAAGGGAAGTTTGAGTGCAAGTTTAGGACCACTCAAACATCACGCTGCTGAGATTCCTAACTCTGATGGCTAGCTATAAAGCACCACGGCAGCTGCTGCAGGCTATGCTCCCATCTGGGCTCAGCCGGCACATACCAGTTCATACTATCCGGGCATGTAGCACTGGACTGAAACTCAAAATGCTCGTGGCATGGAGGAAGATATTTTCACTACAAGGCCCACAGAGTTTACGATGTCTTCAGCTTTAAACACAGACACACTCATAGCTTAAAAATTTAAGACGCTCTTGAGCCTTGTCACAGAATTTATACAGCTCTATCCAAAAAGCTTTGATCTTCTGTACAGCACTGAGCACAAACCCTAGCCAGCCACATTTTGGTTATGAGGAGAGATGACTTTTCCACCACTTAACAGAAGATTATAGTTTTCATGTAAGATTATAGTGTCATGGTTGTAACTCCATCTGAAGGCTGCAGTTACAAAGATCTGACTGCTCAGCAGCTCACATGGAGACAATAGAGAGGTCAGATTCTTAAAAACATCTGTTATAAGTGAGAACAACTTGTTAACACTTTTTTGCGGTACCTTATAGAAGTAAAGTTTTAACTGCTTAGAAAGTGTTCCCTCACATGCTTCATGTTATCAGACATCACTAAATCTACACATCATAATAGCTTTTTAAACAGGATTGGGTAAGATAGAAAGACTTTCCCCTGTACAGCATTCTCAAAAAAAAACAAAACTGAAGATAACTTTGGCATGATTTTTTTAAAGGTCACAAACTTTCCCCATCCAAGACATCTAATGTATGAACAAAGTTTCACGAGAGCTTAAGAATCTGCTCCAGTGCACGTCTACAAGCCTGACTACTAAGAATGGATGCAAAAAAAAAAAAAAAAAAAATCTGTTGTCTCTCTACCCTATCTACCTTTGATTTTAGGCGCTGATTTTTAACTACACACAGGATTATGGTTTACCGGGTAAAAATCACTGCAGAAATCTGAGGTAAAATTTCGAAAGCTGACTGCACCTTCCATCCCAACGCATACTTGTACTGTAAAACTGAAATATAAAGCCCCCTGCAGAACAGTGTTTAGTTTCACTGGGACAAAACTTCAATGGCTGCAATTGCCAGGAAAACAAACCACAATCTGCCCTTCGCTCATGGCTCAAGCAGCATTCTTCGAACACCCTGGCACACACAAAAGGCTGGGGACCTGGAAAAGCTTTTGCTTTTGTTGCTCCTCCTTAGAAGCCTTTTATCTGAACAAGCAATTTTGTGAGATGCTCGTGCCACTACCTCACGTCCATGAATACAAACGAAGCTGCATGCCTCTCCAGATTTCCAAGCGTTTCACGGTGCTTTCGGCGCCGCTGAGAGACAAACTGTAAAATTATAGTCTGCAGCCTGAAAGACGGCTGGGCTGGGTAAACTAGAAGGCACGAGTCCATTCTGACATGCTGCTTCACTAAAGCGACTGGAGCCGCACCGGGTGTGCGCGGCGGGCAACTGCCCCGGCGGAGATGCGCCATTGGAAAGGCTTCGTTCCCTGCCTGCCCGCCCGGGTGGGCAGGGCCGGTGGGAAGGAGGGAGGGCTCAGCTCTCCGGACAGGCACGAGCCTCGCGCCGGGACATCGCTACGGCGCCCTCGGGGCGATCCCGGGCGCGGGACGTGCTGCGAGCGCTCCCGCGGGG